CAGTGTGGTCACGAGGACATATAATTTGGGGTCCAAATGGGTGTCCAGGCCTATTGGGGTCACATTCACACCCTAACACATCCTGTTTCAGGGTCAGTGACATACTGAATGGCACAGTCCATGGGGCAAGGGGTTCTCCAGAAGGACCTACAGGGCAATTCATACGTGGGGGAGGAATATGAGGACCAAATGGATGACCAGGATTTGCAGGGTCACATTCACATATCTCAACAACCTGTTTCCGGGTCAGTGACATAACGAATGCACAATCCATGGGGCATGGGGGTTTTCCTGATGGACCTCTGGGCAATTTGAACCAAGGGGAGACCAAAGGGATGACCAGGATTTGCAGGGTCACATTCACACTTCTCACAGCCTGTTTCCGGGTCAGTGACATAACGAATGGCACAATCCATGGGGCATGGAGCTCGTCCAGTGTAGTCTGTGGGACAGTCAGAGCGTTGTGGAGGGCCAAATGGGTTTCCAGGATGATTGGATCACACTCACATTTCTCACAACTCTCTCATCTACAACTGTTCTGACTGCACAATCCTGAGGGCATGGGAGACGTCCAAGAGGATAGGTGGGACAATTGGAGCGACCAAGAGGAACAAAAGGATTCCCAGGGTTATTGGGATCACATTCACACACCTCACACCCTGTTGTTTCATCCATAACATGTCGCACAGCACAGTCCATGGGACATGGGACTGGGTGTTTAGGACACTGACATTTACAAGTAAGACAACCAGTTTTGCTGTCAAAATCAGTTCGACAGCCACTTGGGCATTCCTTCTTTTCACAGGAGAAAGTATATTTAGTGCAGGAACATACTGGACACCCAGTGGCAACATCAGTAATAGTCTGGCATGCTGGAGGACAGTTTACTTCAGGGCAATCTGTAAATAACAAAAAAACATTGTTTAAGTTTTCCCTTGAAAGATTTTTCTTTTTAAGATATTACCAAAATAAATATGGCAGTATAACTGATATTGCAAAAAAAGTCTTCACAGTTCAGCACAGAATGATAAAAATATATTCAAACTGGAATACTCTCTAAGCAAAGAAACACTGTTATGGATATTTCAGTCATACTACAAATTTGTACTATACACTTTACTGCATAGTGCTATGTCACTACCATTTCCCTTTTCTTACTGGAGCTTTACCTTTTGGTTGGGTAACCTCTGCAGCCAACTCACATGACCTGTACTGAACACAGGTCAGCTCAGGAGGTGTTGTGCACCTGCAGTCAATCCTGCAGTTGTTAATGTTGAGTTTTGAACCGTGGCTAATAGTGAGCTCTCCTAAATGGCACTGATCTGTAGTTGTAGAAAAAAATGGCTAAATACTAGGTAAAACAAGAAATCGAAATGAGAGAGAAAGAAAAATAAAAGTAAAAAAACAAAAAAAAAATTGTGGAATCTTTCTTTGTTTTGATTTCATTCATTAGTCTGTTCTCTGGATGCTGAACAAATATTGTATGGAATTTAACTGAAATTGAATTCTTTACAATAAGCACTTTTACAGAATAATGGCAAACAAATGCAAAAAATGTGCCTTCTCACCATCTTTTTTTCTGTGGTGAAACTCTTTGTTGCTGCTGTACTGCATCAGTTGGTGTGATGCGACTGTCTCCAGCTAAAAAATATTGAAGTTTTAGTTGTAGAAAAAATAAACAAATATATGCAAAAGGTACAGGGAATCTCAATATTATTACTAGGGAATATGTAGATACTTATATACAAATTCTGCTAGATATCAGTATAAAAATAGAGTGGACAATTGTTAATCACATACAATAATCAAAGGAAAAGTGAATGTAATGTTATCCCTACAAGGACATAATACAACAATGCTTTTAAGGACTAAAGCCAAAAATTGAAAAAGAGAAAACTTACGACACAGCCAGTCAATGGAACAAACTTATCCTCGAAGAAAATTGGCACACAACCATCTGCAAGCCTGGAGGTGTATCTGTAAATACAATAACATTGTTAAACATTAAATCCATATAGAGCAACCTTGTAAAAAGTAAATTCCACACAAAGATACAGTTAAAATCCATATAAAGATGAACTTGTCATAAGCAAAATACTCACAAAGGTAAACTTGATTCAGATAAAGTCGAAATAAAGCTAAATGAAATCACCACAAGGATAAATAAAATCTATCCTATAAAAACATATAGTTACCACAGTCTTTTCTTTGTAACTTTGCATAATTTAGACCAGTGTTGTCAAACTGGGGTCCGTGTACCCTGTGTGTTTTTTTCAAGCGTTTTTTATTAAATCATCTTTTTATTTGTTTATTAGATTCAAATTTATTGACCAATACTCTTGGGGGGGGGGGGCATAACAGTACAAGAAGGTAATAAAGGGTACAATAGGTGAAAGTGTTTGGACATTGCTGATTTAGACATGTAAAACCAACACACTGGTGAAAAATCAAGAGAAAGATAATGATGAAAGAAAGTTTTCTGCAACTGGAGTTTACACACCCACTGAATACCACAGAGAATTATTTACGGGTCTGTTAGATGGTTCAGGAAAATCTACAATGTCTCTCCTACACCATGTATCACAAATCAATTTTGACTGATCTTTTGATAATTATTAATAATAAGTAGGTAAACTAGGTCAGTCAATTGGTTTTGTCTTTAGAAAATCTACCATAGTTTTATTTCTCCATGTTCCCAACTGATGTTTTGGCTTGATCAAAAAATCTAACCTAAACCAGAGTTTTGTTGAACTTGATAACAGTTAATATTCACAAGATTTGGATATGACGGAACAGTTACACCATTCAGTCCTATAGTACAGCATGACATACTCAGTTATACCTTATCAAGGTACAAAAATATTATAAGGTTCAGAGACGTTAAAATCAGACATCTTTTAACATGGTACATTATGGAGTAAACAGCATACCGAATTCAGTGACTTTCAACTAACCGGAATTCAAATCCACAGTCAATCTTTGAACAACCAGGACCTGTTGGGCTTGTGAACTCTGGAGTACACACACAAGACTGGCATTGGAAATCATCGAAGTACATCTTATCTCCAATTTGGTAAGTCTTGTTGCCCCATGAGCACCCAACAGCACGAGTCTCTAAGTCTGGTGGTGCTGCGGGGTCCCTGTTCATGAAAAGAATAAGAGGGAGGATCAGTTGAGGAGAATATCAAACACTGTGCATTTCCCAGTTGTGATGCTATCTACAAAAATTATGGATATAGAGTTTAGGAAAGTAATCAGAACATGTACAAATAAATAAAATATACATATCCACTTGATAAGCAATAACATATATGCATTCATACATCCACAGAAAGAAAAAAATAACTTGACAGTGTGAGAAATGCTTAAAACCATACAAGGAAAAAAAAAAAAAAAAAAAAAAAAAAAAAAAGTTACACTTGTCTATACAGGGAGAAAACTAATCATCACAGTTACAGGAAATACATACGGCACTCCTCGTCTGTTGAGCAGCACTGGTCAGGAGAGAAGAGGAGACGGCACCCAGGGCGAGGAGGCCTGAACAAGCTAGGGCACTCAATGTTGGCACAGTGTATCTGAGGCCTGAAGATAAAGCAAACATACATTTACATCTTCAATGACACATTTGTAAGCACTAAAATTTAAAAAAATAATTTTTGTTTATCATCATCATGTGATGATGATGGGATTATTACATACATAATCATCAATATTATTAATATTACCACTGACATTATCACCATTATTACCATTGATATTTTCAATATCATAATCATCATCATTATTATTATTATTATCATTATCATTATATCTAATATAATTATTACTAAGGCTCCTGTATTTAGTCAAAATTGAACAAAAATAAACGTTAACAAAAAAACAAGCTAGCCAACACTTCAAGCATCATCAAACACTTGAACTCACGCGGTCTCGGCATGGCAACGACAGCTAGCTGAACAGACGTCTTCCACAGGCACTTCTTCACCATTTTCGTAGAAATTACCTCTGTAGTAACATTTCGTTGGGTCTGGTATAACAGAGTCTGAAGGAGCTGTTTGAACAGAAAAGAAATTCAAAAAATGAAATGACATTCAAAAAACAATAACACAAAAATTCAAAACACAAAAAAATCAAAATCAAATATATTAAAATAATTGTCAAAATACCATTAAATGGTAGTTAAAATGGTAGTCAAAATACCATATAGTAATGGCTGATATAAAAAAAATATTTGCTTTAAAACAGAACAAGCTATTGCTCAAAATACAGTAGTCACAGTTAAACTAAAATATTCAAAACAATTTTTAAACATTGTCAAAAAGTCAATTAATAGTTAATGATAAGTAAATGAAAAGTAAAAATAATATAATAACAGTGCATGTTGTACTCTACTAAAACATAAATATTAATAAGGAAAATATATAAACAATATCTGATCATAAAACAAATATAAAAGAGAAAGAGCTTAAAATATCTTATATTCATAATCATGTTTGAAATGGTACAACTATTCCTCAATGCAATAATTTTCTTATAATTTCTAAAAGACTATGTCTGGTGTGAATAGTTAAAAATTAAATAGAAAAATTGAGAATCCTATGTATAAAAAAATGAAAATAATTACACACACATCATAAAAGAAAAGAAGAAGGAAATTTAACATGATACCCACGACATGAGAAGCTAGTCGGACAGCAGGCACCATCCTCGTACTGTGGGATGCAGTTCTTGACGAGATAATGAGCCCAGCGCTTCCAGGGGCATTTTGTCCGATCACATGATGAGTCTGGTATTAAGAAATTAATAATTATTAAATCTTTTTTTTAATTAGTGTCATTAATTGATTTCATCTTTATTATCATTATCTTGAATTTTTTTCTGATTTTATTTATCATTATTTGTCAGTAAACTGTGTATATTTTGATTCTATTATCTTTAACAGCTTGATTACTGCCCTTTTTGTCAATTGTGAACATTAGCTTATAATACTCTAATTGAATATTCTAACTGAATAATACTCTAATTGAATATCTTTAACATTTTCACAACATATTGCCTACACAAAACACAAAGTTGTAAAGCTGAATACTCAATCTTAAAAAATTGTGTCAGATAATTTCCAAAATTCACATAATAGGTGTGCTATTATGGCAAAGATTTCACAAAAAAAGAATCTATTAGAAAAGTAACATGACTATTACAAGATCTATCTTCATTTTAACTTTCATACTGAAAATTGTATTGTAGGTTTACAATTTCTCACAAATGTGTTATAATTTACATGCTGAGTTAATTTCATCATTCATGCATTATGTCTGATTATATGAACATTTTTCTTGTGGTATTTCTTTTGCATATCTGTTGTCTAACCAGTGACTGTTTTTTTTTTTTTCTAACACAGGTTTCAGTTGACTGTACCCTCTAAATTGTTAAACATTATCACTATAACCTAAAAAATATATGAAACCCTATCCAGAATCATAATTCTAATTCAGTATCTCAACAATTTACTCTTTAGAATTTTGCTGTACATTTTCAGTTTTAGTAAAAGTAAAAATTACTTAAAACTTCCATGATAAAACTGAACTATGTGCTCTGTACTCCAACTTTGAGGTACTTAATAATACTTAATATCCAGCAAAACAAGATATATTATGTGTGTAGAGAGAAACACAAATATTATAACCTATAAAAAACTTATTATCAAAAAGTAACTAAATAAAAACAACTTGCACCAAGGGGCATCAATCTCTCTTGTGCGTCATTCTTACTTAAAAGTCATATCCTCTGAATTTCCATAGTTCACATTCCATTTTAAAGGATAAGTGAATGTAAAATACTTTCCTTATTTTTCTAATCCTTATATCTGGCACACTCAATTTTCCTTTTACAATACTACTTCAAAAAGCATAATAACATAATTATGATAATTCAGTACGGTATTGCTAAAGAGACTTTATAAGATAAGGTATGTGAGTTCATTCTGTAAAAGTAGGCTTGATGTATTATTGGTTCTTATTTTCGTCTACACCCTATACCATGACACACAGCAATTATTGCAGTTAGATAAGAACATTACCCTGTTGTTTTACTGGCTTTCTAATTCCTACAGTGATTTTTAAAACATTTTTATTTTGTGACCATACATAATACAACATCAAAGATCCCCCCCCAAAAAAAATATATATATATAAAATAAATAACAAGTAGTTTTTTCCAAATTTTACTCAAGTACTGTCTCACCTTTCTTTTCCAGTCATATGTACACCAAGCTCTGTAC